GCCCTGTGCCGGGGTGCCCTGTTCGTCTAGTGAAACGCTGGTGCTTGTAGTTCACGGGGTTACCGAATGAAAAAGGGAGCGGGCGGCTGAATTTCGTGGAGCTTAGTTACCCTGGATTAGCCTGATGGGGATCACAGCCCGTATTCGCCCAGTTTGGATCCAGGCTGTTGTTGGGGACGGGAGCGGGGAGGTGCGAGCCTCGAAAATATTTGTTTGTGAAGCTGCTCATTTCTACCGTCTGTGCATGTAGGCTGTAGAGTTTAAAGTGAGCAGCCGTTTAACCAGGGCAGCTGCCTTGCTGGACATAGCATGATGAGGTCTGCCTCCTTTCCCATGAGAACTCTCTTCTCACCGTGAATAGCATTTCCCCTTCATGTGTACATATGTTAGTCTTACATATGTATACATAAGTTTAAAAGGACATTCCTTTCTGCCTGGGAATGCTTCCAATTCAGCTGTACATCTTCTTGCATGAACAACTTTTTAACAGCCTCACAGAAAAAATAATCACAGGAAAGTCTTTCTATTTCTGTTTCATTTTTTACAATCTCTCTGTATGTGTTTTAAACCTATCTGATTACAAACACAAGACTTACTTCAGTGTACTGTTAGTCTAACAATATTGTTCCAAAGTAAAAAACCAAACCTGTCCTGCCTGAAGAAAACTTTAGTAAAAACAAGACCCAAATGAAGTGTGCCTTTATATCTCCTTCTACCTTAACATAAACCTAAAGAAAACTTTCATCTCATTTGGAGTATCATTTTAGTCTCTATACAGTTTTAGATGCATGCAGCAAGTACAGCTGTGTATCTAAGCTCTTCAGCTAAACTCTTCTACAAAGAATAGTTTCCTAAAGTATGGGTTATTTCCACATGCTAGTGCAAGGGAATATTTTTTTAAAACAGCTTCATTTTTTGACACGTTACCTGAATATTGGTTTTGTTTTTGTGAAGATGGTAAGCCTATGCTTCGTCAGGGTGACACAGGAGACTGGATTGGCACATTTCTGGGTCATAAAGGTGCTGTTTGGGGTGCCACTTTGAACACAGATGCCACTAAAGCAGCTACAGCAGCAGCAGATTTTACAGTGTGAGTGATTAACTGTCTTTGAAATCTTTATTGATTTTGAAGTCTGATTTGATTTTTGTCTATGGTGCTTTTTGGTGACATATAACTAGTAAATTACTGTTTCATTTGCTTTTCTTTAGTAATTGTTAGCTTATTTATGGCTAGCCAAATTAAAATGTAGACTTTTAGGTTTTTGAACCCAGCTGCGGTTAATTTCATCATGATGGACAACTGTGATTGCTTCTTGATAACTATACTTAGTTACCATACTGGTTTGCTAGAGTAACATTCCTATGTGGCTCTAATCTCTGGCACTGTATTTTTTTTAAAGAGTGATCTTTATTTTGCTTCTACCAGTTAGCCTCTTTTTATTGCAAGAAAACTCTTGTGAAAATTGTAGTGAATTATTTCTTTGATGTTTTTTGTTGGTTGTGCTGTTTGCAGCATATATTAATGTTTGGCAAGTTGAATCCTGTTACTAGATGGCAATCTCTGTTAATAAAGTTGCAGAGAAGAGCTGCCTTTGTCTTAAAACTAAAATGCTAATTATCTGCATTATACTGAGGAAGAAGATAAAGGAAAATAGTGAGATGGTACAAAAAACAAAAGCTTTATTAAAAATATAAAGTGTTCTTATTGACTAACAGGGTTATAACTTATAAGAATGTAGCCTGTATGATAAAATGTTATGATGGTGTTAGGAAAGATTGCTTACAAACTGATGTGACTGTCCAGGTTGATTTGTCCTGGTGCCATTGAAATACAAGTGTTTTCTCTTGCCATTTAGCAAAGTGTGGGATGCTGTGTCAGGCGATGAACTAATCACGTTGGCTCATAAACACATTGTCAAAAGTGTGGATTTTACACAGGTATGAAAAACCTTTATGCCTTTTTCACCAGAGAGTAAGCTCTTCAGTATGTTTTGCTGTTAGCTTCTTTTCTACTTCTTGTGTGTGTATCTTAGCAGGTAAATCATCCTAGAAGTGGTGTGGTAGATTATAACTTAAATGTATTAAGTGTGTTAGAGAGGCTGTCTGAGAGAAAGAACTGTTGTTTTAAGACTCACAGATGAAGGCTGCTGTTTTGATTCAAAATAGTTGACCCTTTATAACTTCTGTTTCAGGATAGCAATTATCTGTTAACAGGTGGACAAGATAAACTGTTGCGTATCTATGACTTGAGCAAGCCAGAAGCAGGTGAGCATGCTTTTAGAACTGATTCTTGGTTTTTGGAGTTAAATAAAAGTCCTGAAATTAGTAGCTGCTTTCTGTTATGAATCACAGAAGAAAAAGTTGAGGATTGTTTTACAAATGTAGTGGCTATAAGCTTTTGCTATAGTAAGATAATCTGTATGTTTTCAGTTAATGCTTTTACAAGTGAATTAGTGTTTGTCTATAGTGGACTTCAAGGATAGCATGTTTCAGTTCAACGCAGACTCATTAGAAATAGGTCTAGTTAATTCAAATTAAGTCATATGAAAGAAAAAGAGACTCATATTTAAGTGTGTTTAAATTCATGTTGATACTGAACTACTGGTGATTGATGAAGCTAAAGAACCTTGATGTTAAACTAGTGAAGCTTTTTAAATTTAGGTAATCAGATACCCAGTTTACATTTATCCTGTTCCTGGAATAAGACCTACAAATAAAGTCATAAGTGCTTGAAGTAATTTTACAGTTTCTCGTCAATGGTAATATGTATAGCTTAAGAAAGCTCCTAAAATGCTGCATGATATAATTTAATTTTCTTACATGTATTAAAATATTTGGTTTTATTTTAAGACCCTGATGTTGTCAGTGGACATACTTCTGGCATTAAAAAGGCTTTATGGAGCAGCGATGACAAACAGATTCTTTCAGCTGATGATAAAACTGTCCGGTAAGAAAAAGTAACTTTCAGTTTTCTAAGAAGCTCACTTTCATTTATTGTCATAATCTATGTGAGAAGATAGTTATGCTTTTTTATAAAAGATATGAGTAATATGGGTTATTTGTTCCTAGCTTATTATAGCTGCATGCCTAATACAGTTCTCTTCTGCTGTTAAGAGACACAACTTTCATAATAATTCTAATTTACACCATGTGTCCTCCCTGTTAAGAAGAGGTCATCTTTGAGAACTGTGTAGTAGAATAAATTTATGCCTTTCATAATCCTAGAGAAGGTGAATTTAGAGATGAGGTCTTCTGAATGCACATTGTGCTGAGGTATTGCTGCCTTGTCTTCTGCAGTCCAGACTTGAAAGAAGCACAAGGCATGGACTAGCCAGGGCCTTGGATGAAAGGCTGGGAAGAGAATCTGGAAACAGTGTACTGTTGATAGACATAGCCCTCTTTCTGATAAGTTGAGTAGGCTTTAGTGTTTTTATAAGATGGCTCATCCAGTCACAGTGTTTTATTTATGCCCAAGTGGTAGGAGGTGTGCTGAAACCTAGACAAACTTGGCTGCTGGGGAAGTGAAGTGACGAAGGCCCTTCCTCTTTCATCCCTAGATAGAAAACTGTATTGTCTTAAATGGATCTCTGTTCTTTGGCTAAATTTGTATTAGTACCTCTTTGCCTTGTGAGGTAAAAAGGCAGAATGGGATCTTCAAGCCTTGCTTCTAGAAAGCTCTATTGCTCAGAAGACTTACAAGATTTTCAACCTCTAAGAGAATCCTTGAGTAGTTAAATGGTATGTGTACCATTTAATGTTGTCACATTATGCTTCAAAAATATCAGTATTTTAAAGTGAGCATGTCTATATTCTCACCTAGCCAAAGTTTTGAGATAAGGATGCCACTGAAAATCCAAAGTACCTTTGGAATCAAACCACGTTCTTTGTTAGGTGGCTTTTTTGATCCAAATCTTGCCATGGATGGGAAGTGAAAATTGTTTTATTTGCTGAAGTAATTTGAGAGCGTTTTTTTCCTTTTTGTTTCCTCTTAAGCCTCTGGGACCGGAGTACCATGACTGAAGTGAAGGCACTAAATGTTGCAATGTCAGTGAGCAGCATGGAGTATGTTCCAGAAGGACAGATACTTGTCATAACCTATGGGAAGACTATTGCTTTTCATAGTGCAGAAACGTGAGTGCAAAACACAGAATTTTTACGGGCTGAGTAATGGGCTTGGTTGTGGGTAAAAACTGTCTGTACAAGGCCAAAATCACCAAGTTGTCTGAACTGGCGTTAGTGGACATCTTTGCTTGCCGTGTTGTCAGAGGCAGAGTGTGAAACAACTACCTTTTTCTAAAATAGTGAGCCGTAACTGTGTATGAGATGCTAGACTGTAAAGATTGAATGCCATTTTAATATTTCACACTAATTGTAATTGTGGTTAAATAAGTTTCAGACAGGGTTCAGTTCTGTGCTTTTCAGAGAACTATTTATACAGCTCTATGATGTCTTGAGAAAGCAAGTTACACACTTAAACATAATCTAGAAAGTAGTTCTGAATGTGTGAGCCTTTTGTTTTGCTTATTCTGAACTTGTTTCTAACTTGATGAGCGTGATTTGCAAATATTAAAATGTGCTTCAGAAATTGTGTGGGGGTGTATTCTATATTTCTTAAAAGCAGTTATGAATACTAGAATCACAGTTTCTTTGCTATCAGGTTTGGTTTTTTTTTTTAATGAACTTTATTAACAAACTTTTCTCCCTCAGTCTAGAGCAGATCAAATCATTTGAAGCACCTGCTACAATCAATTCTGCATCACTTCACCCTGCAAAAGAATGTTTGGTTGCGGGTGGTGAAGATTTTAAACTCTATAAATATGACTATAATACAGGAGAAGAATTAGGTATGTTTATCTTCTGTAATCAAAAAGGAGTTCTGAAATGGGTATTAGATTAATGAAATAGTGACTAATAAAGGAAACTTGTACTCAAATAAGGTCTTAGCATTGTATGCTGTGCAAGAGGATGAAAAGGTATAACAGTTAAGCATTTTTTCCTATCTCAGTATACCTTACGTTATTTTTCTAGAGATAATTAAGGCCTCCATTAAACATCTCTTTGCACCTATTTGAATAAAAAAGTTGTCCTTTTGTATTGCTGCAATAGCAAGCTGTATATTAACTTAGTGTCATACTATAGCATTTGTTAGATATGTCTAATGAGTTGCAGCTACTTGCTTTTATGAAAAATGTGGTATGTTTGTGTTCTGGTTAATGTTGGCCAAATATATTTGAAAAAAAGTGTGTTTCTAAGTTTTGTTGATCCTGTCCTGTCTTAAAATTGTATGTATGTGGCACGGTTACAGGAACAGAGCATGTGTACTCTGTTGCTGGCTTGCTTTGTAGGTTTCCCTAGAATAAATAAGCACCCGTTTTCTTGCGGTTAATAAAACTTAATAGGTCACCTAAATTAGAAGTTGCTGAGATATCAATTACTAGAAGTTTTGTTTTGTATCAGAAGTTACATACTGAGAAGGTGTCTCCCCCCATTAGTATTTTTTTCCTCTTCTGGTCAGTTTTTACTTGCTAATTTCAGTTGTTGGCTGAAATTTGAAATTAATGGTCTTGATATGTTCTCTTATAGAATCTTACAAAGGCCACTTTGGTCCAATTCACTGTGTGAGATTTAGCCCTGATGGAGAGTTATACGCAAGTGGCTCTGAGGATGGTACACTAAGGCTGTGGCAGACAACAGTAGGGAAAACCTACGGTCTTTGGAAGTGTGTAGTTCCTGGTAAGTGTGCGCTTGTTCCTTGTGAAATTTGACTGCTTCGTGTGCACTTTTTATGTAATACCTATCATAAGTGGTGAACATAATCTGAATTTAATACAGTAACTGCAGTATCTTCTGAGGGTCTCTGTATCCACTCAAGGCTGTTAGATTTAAGAATTTACTTTTGTAGCTGTCTTTGAAGCAATTAACTTCAAACCTGTAAGCTTATGGAATATAGACACTTTGTGGATAGTTAAGCAAATAGTCTGATGGTGTTTTGTGTTATAGAGCATGAACTAAGGAATACCACTTCAATAAATCTTAAGGATAAAGGAATCTCTATAAAGAAGTATGAATGAAAGGTTTATTTTTCATTGTACTTCAGTTCTGTAAATTTTGGGGTGTGGGTGGGAAGCAATGTCTGCAAGACTGCAAGTGAGTGTCTGTTAATGGAATTGCTTACTCAACTCTTTCTCCTCAACACTATATTAAGTGGAAAATTTTATTGTTTTGATTAAGGTGGGCGGGGGAAACTGAAGGCATTGACTGTTTTCTTTCTCTCTGCAGAAGAGGAAAATGCAGAAGCAGCAAAAGCAAGGACCACCCTTCCAGGAACTGCAGAGGAGGAAATAGGTAATGTACTGAACTGCCAGTTTCAACTCAGCTGTGTGTTAAAAGATCAGTCAAGATGGTAGCATTCTTTAGTGTGGAAGAGGTAGTTTTCCTCAAGTACCTTCTGGCATTTTTCACTCTTCTAACAAGATGTTTGAATGCATTTTCCTGAAAATGACCACGTGGTAAGTGTCAGACTAGTGACTAGAGTTGTGCAGACTGAACAGATGGCATAGAATAACTGGATCAGGTTAAATGGGAAAACAAACCAAACTGGTCTTTAAGCAATGTCTAAAATGTTTCTTTGGTTTATATATCTACGGTAAAGTTAAATAATACCCTTTTTATTTAATTGCAGAAGATCTTGCCACTGAAAACTCGGATTCAGTGTACAGCTCAACTCCTGAAGTTAAGGCCTGATTATTGTAACTGTTACGCAGCATATGGACATATGAGACTAAATCAAGTGAATAGTGATAAACAGCAGCCTTCCAGAGTGTGCTGTCTACATAAGGCAAAGATGGGCAGTAATTGATGAGAATGCGGTGGAACTGGCTAGGTGTTGTCTGTAAGAGAACTGAGTTGAGTAGCCAAATGAAAAAAGACAAGTAGTAGAGTTTTGCTATCTTTTTAGCATAACTGCCTACTGTCTTTTCAAAGAAGTGTGCAAGCCAAGATCCAGTCTCTCCAATTTCAGTTAGACTCATTGTAGTGTGTTTTCTTTATTATGAAGAAGAGGTACAGTGGCGGCTTTTACCCTTTTTTTAAAAATTTTTTTTCTTGAAAGTTGGAAAATTTGGCTTTAGTTGAAAAGAAGGGATTATGTACTAAAAGTATTTGGTTCGGGTTTTGTTTCATTGTACTCTGCTTCTAAATGTTTAACTGTTTTCAGTTGTCTAAATAAAATGCCTCTTGAAACTCTTACCTTACTGTTGAGCGTTGGGTTGATGGAATGCAAAAACAACCAAGTTAATTATGTAATCCTTCCAAGCATCTTGGTTATGTACAATACCGAGGGAAAGCAATAAGAATGTTTTACTGTTGCTACAGAGGGTGTCAAGTTCTGTGATCTGTGAGCTTTGTGTCTTTTTATTCTTTAAACCTTGAATGTAAACGTGAGTCTCAAAAACATTGGAACTCCTAAATTAAACGTGCTGCCTGAAATACTTGGTTGTACATGAAAATCTCAGAGGTTGGCTATGAATCTGTATAAAGCTTGGGTTTAGTTCTCCAGACTGGATAAAAAAGTTTCTCTTTCAAGGTTACAAATCATATTTTCTTCATTAAAGAAAATATTGCCATTCTTCCACTTGTCACTTCCTTTAATATTATGCTGAAAATTTTACATAATACACTCTGTATGGAAGGGAGAAAAGTTATACAGAGGTATGTTCATTCATATACCTTTTTATTTTTTCATACTCACACTTGTCCTTAATGTTCTTTTGAATTTTTTCCCAGGAATGCAGAAATGCCACCACCTTAGAAAATTGAAGCTTAACAGTTGAAAATGGGTATAAATTGAAACATGGCAATTCTGTCTGAACATAAGAAAATACTTTTCCATTGTCAAGGGCAGTCAAACACTGGAATAAGTTGCCTGGAAGGGTTGTGAAGTCTCCATTCTGGAAGACTTTCAACCCAACTGGGTGTGGCCCTATGGAACCTGCTGTAGCTGAGTCTGCCTGAGTAGGTGGTTGGACTTGGTTGATAGAGGTCCCTTCCATCTTAAACTGTTGGAGTGGGGGATGTAAGGAGGAAAACACAGAATGATACCATGAATCATGCTTTCGTAGTGCAATAGTAGTGTTAAGAATATGTTATTTCACAGACTTTATTTTAAAGTTAGTTCTGCAGTTGTGTATTTGAAATTTACTCTAGAAACAAGCAACTCACAACCCTCTGATTTACAGCTAATTGTTTCAGCCTTATCATTAATTCCGTTAAGGCTTATGAGGGCTCCAAATCTAGTATTTCAGCCTAGAAGCTGTTCATTTACAAGCTGAAGGATATGTTTAAACCAAGAAACGGACAGACTCCCCCCCATTGTGAAATTTCTTGCAGGCTGTGGTCTTCATGTGGTATTTCAGGTAGGCTGTGCAGCATTTCACAGAGGTGTCTGGCATAGCATGCTGAGATTTAGCTGTGCCCCTTTGCTGCTTTACATGATGCTGCTGTGAGTTTGTGGTTGCTTTGCTAGCACTGAGCAAACAGGGCTAACATTGCAAGGTGTTTCATCTAAATGAGAATATTAACAATTTTTAATAATTTCCCCCCCCCCCCCCCCCCCGGGATTTTGTGTCATCATAACTCTAGAAAAAAGTAAAGGCTGTGAAGTTGTCTGTGGCTTTGTTACCGGACAGGTGTTATTTTGCAGGTGTCAACAGCAAGCTTTACAAGGTCGGTAAGTTCATAGAGCCCGGTGTGTACATGGGGCACTAGTTTCTCCTTGAAGAGTCATCTCGATGAAATCGGAAGTTGCTTGGACTCATCAAGACAGCAAGCCAGGTGTTATTTACTATTACCTTCGCTAAAGGAACAGAACATCCTCGTAACTCCCGTCAAAGGAGGGCACTGGTCTCTTACCTAGCGGAGGCTGAGGGGTGGGAGTAAGTCTCTGTCGCCTTCTTGGAGTAC